AGGGTTGCAGGTGGGAGGGACGTTATGGGGGGGAAGCCATTGTAATCCATAAGCTGTACTTTGGAAATCTATATTCATTAAATAAAAGTTTAAAAAAAAAGAGTAAACACTGACACTGACTCTAAGTAAGGAAACAAAAAATGGTAGCCTTGGCTTCCCCTGAGACAGAGAGGGAAGTTATATTTTGGGCCTTCTTAGCTTTAAATAAGATGGGAAAATTATACAGAATTCTGCCAATTTCCCAAACTTGCTTCATAGATAGACCATGTGCCGGCCGGCGCCGTGGCTCAGTAGGCTAATCCTCTGCCTAGCGGCGCCGGCACACCGGGTTCTAGTCCCGGTCGGGGCGCCGGATTCTCTCCCGGTTGCCCCTCTTCCAGGCCAGCCCTCTGCTGTGGCCAGGGAGTGCAGTGGAGGATGGCCCAAGTGCTTGGGCCCTGCACCCCATGGGAGACCAGGAAAAGCACCTGGCTCCTGGCTCCTGCCATTGGATCAGCGCGGTGCGCAGGCCGCAGCGCGCAGGCCGCAGCGCGCCGGCCGCGGCGGCCATTGGAGGGTGAACCAACGGCAAAAGGAAGACCTTTCTCTCTGTTTCTCTCTCTCACTGTCCACTCTGCCTGTCAAAAAATAAAAAAAAAAAAATAAAAAAAAAAATAAGATAGACCATGTGCCTTCCATTGGTATGAGTACTTGCTCTGTATCTTTGATCAAGGGTTAGGGTTGGAGAATGTAATTTTTCTCAGTAAGGCACTGATAGATGATACTTAATGTATCCTAAGATAACAGTTCCACACACCCAGATTAATGTTATGTCTAAAGTCTTAGCCAACGGCTTTACTCCTGGTTGGGGACTGAAAGTCTTCTTATGGGAAAAATTACTAATTTCTCTGGCTTTCATTGTAGGTATAGGAATGATAATATGTTGTTGGCTTTATTGCTGCTGTGAAATGATGATGCACTGGGTCTGGCGCTGTGGTGTAGTGGGTAAAGCTGCTGCCAGCATTGTTGTTATCCCATATGGGTGCCAGTTCAATTCTCGCTGCTCCACTTCTGATCAAGCTCTCTGCTATGGCCTAGGAAATCAGTAGAAGATGGCCCAAGTCCTTGGGCCCCTGCATCTACATGGGAAGACCTGGAGGAAGCTCTTGGCTCCTGGCTTTGGATCGGCACAGCTCCGGCCATTGCGGTCATTGGGGAGTGAATCAGCAGATGGAAGACTCTGTCTCTCTGTCTCTCTGTCTCTCTCTAGCTCTGCCTTTCAAATAAATAAAATAAATACAAATAAAAAAGAATCTTCATCATTCACTCCTCAGGAAACCTGAGAATTAAACAATAACTGCCCATCTCCTTGCCCTGCACTTTGCAATAAAAAGAGTTTCTTCCATTACCATCACGTCAGTGAATGACTTCCTGCACGTCAAGCGAGTGGACCCAGTTTGAGGTTTTGTAGAACATTTCCAACTAGCTTGGGATTTTATCTGGCAATAATCATGTTATGGGCAGGAATGAGAGAGAGAGAGAGAGAGGGAGAGAGAGGAGACACCAAACTTGAAATTAAATAATAATCAACTTTCTCATCAGAATGATCTCTGAGGACCTAGCCTTAATGACCAAAGCAACTCCCACCGGAACTGCCTCCTACCTGCCACAATTAGATCTGGTCTCCACCCTTTATCCATCAACCATTAATATTAAGACATCAGAGTTTAAACATTTGCATGAGTTTTAAGGAGAAAAGTCCTACTTAACTCATGTACGTTTTTGTTGTTTTTGATTTTTCCCCTTTTCTTTTTGTCTGACAATGGTATTTATTTTTTATTTATTTTTTTATTTTTTATTTTTTTGTTAGGCAGAGTGGACAGTGAGAGAGAGAGAGAGACAGAGAGAGAAAGGTCTTCCTTTGCTGTTGGTTCACCTTCCAATGGCCGGCGCGGCCGGCACACCTCGCTGATCCGATGGCAGGAGCCAGGTACTTATCCTGGTCTCCCATGGGGTGCAGGGCCCAAGTACTTGGGCCATCCTCCACTGCACTCCCTGGCCACAGCAGAGAGCTGGCCTGGAAGAGGGCCAACTGGCACAGAATCCGGCGCCCTGACCGGGACTCGAACCCGGTGTGCCGGTGCCGCAAGGTGGAGGATTAGCCTAGTGAGCCGCGGCGCCGGCGACAATGGTATTTCAAAAGACCTCTGAAATTGTTTTGTATATGTTTCTTCTGCTTGGTGTAGTTTACTGTTGAGGCTTTTATTTCTATTTTAATTTCATTTACTGAAGTCGTTAGCTCAAATAATTCTTTTGGTCCCCTTTTTAAAAATTTCTCTCTCTGCTTAATTTATCACTGACATTGAATATTGTCTTCCTAATTTTCTGTGTTTTATTTTCTGTCTCATTGACTTTCCTTAAAGTCATTAGTTTGAATTCATTTTCATGAAATCCACCAGTTTCCTTCCCTTTGGGGTCTGTGGATAGAGAGTTAGAGTGTTTCTTTCGTGGCATCACATTATCTTGTTTTTTTTTTTTTTTTTTCATGTGACTTGTGTCCTATGTTGTTTGTATGGTTGATCAATTGTTCTTATTATTAATATTTTAGAGGGACTTTCATAGTAAAAGATTTTCTCCTGATATATACTAGGGTATTGGTAGAGTAGCTTTGCTTGCTTTGGTTCCAGGTATTTGACATAGCATCTGTGTAGCTTCTTTGGCTGCTATCATTTTTTTTTGACAGGCAGAGTGGACTGTGTGAGAGAGAGACAGAGAGAAAGGTCTTCCTTTGCCGTTGGTTCAACCTCCAATGGCCACTGCGGCTGGTGCACTGCGCTGATCTGAAGGCAGGAGCCAGGTGCTTCTCCTGGTCTTCCATGTGGGTGCAGGGCCCAAGGACTTGGGCCATCCTCCACTGCCCTCTTGGACCACAGCAGAGAGCTGGACTGGAAGAGGGACAACTGGGACAGAATCCGGCGCCCCGACTGGGACTAGAACCTGGTGTGCTGGCGCCACAGGTGGAGGATGAGCCTATTGAGCCAGCCTGGCTCACATTTTTGGCAATGTCTGTTGGTGTCTTGGTGACCTAGGCTGTTGAAGTTGTGGAATTGTATGACATGTGGGGTTTAGTTGTCTTGGTTGGGGTAGGTTCACTGGTTACTCTGGCCATAGCTTTAGGTGTTGTATGCTTATCAGTTTCCATGGGTTGTATGGGACTAGAGCCACTTATGTTAGTCCATTCAGGTGAGGCATGGCTGTTATGGCAGCAGAGGAGTAGCATTATCAGTTTCCAAATGTCCTATGGGTGTGGGCCTCAGGTGGGTATAGCACAATATTTCTGGTAGTGGGGCATAGCTGGGGTGCTCATCAAAGTCCCAGGGCTATGTGTGTGCCTTTCCAGGGCCCCTGGGGATGACCAGCTCAGAGTACACTGCCCAGCTCCTCGTTTGGGTCAGTGATAAGAGGATTGGGGAACTCATTTACTTCTGAGGGCCTCAGTGGTCCAAAATTCCTAGAATGAGCTATTTGGCCACTTTCCAGGGCCATGGTTATGTAGGAGGGGCTGCTTAGATTCTTCCTCGGATTCTGCGTGATGGGGTGGGGCCATCTGACTGCTGCCCAGGGCCTCAGGAGGCTGAATAACCAAGATCAGACTGTCTGGCTATTTCCTGGTTACACAGGAAGACGGACAAGGCTGCCCGACTGCTTTTCAGGAGCCTCAGTGGATTTTGCATCCTAATACATGTTGCCCAGGTACTTCTTGGGGCAATAGGAGAGTAGGCATGTTAACTCAGTTGGTTTGTGGGACTGGGTTGGATGAATACCTTGGGGCAGCTCTTGGCTACTTTACACGACCTTGTGTGGATGGGTTCTTGAGAAGGCATATGTGCAGCAAGAGTTTGAGTAGGGGAAGGCATAATATGGACTGGGATATTTCCCTGGGGCAATGCAGCCATATAGTAATCCAGAAGGTCCCTCAAATGGGCCCAGGCCTGTGAAGGGTGCAGGCATCTCCAGCAAAAAATGCTTCAGATCTCTGTGGCATGAGTGGGATTCCTGCTTATTATTTTCCTGCCATGCAGTGTCCTTTTTGGCTTAATGTTAATCCTGATTGTTGGGATGGCGAATGATGTGTGCTTGGTTCCCATTTCTATAAGGTTATTGTGTATCTCTATGCTCTGCAACATCTCTGCCACAGCCCCATTGCACTCCAGAAACTCTGCCTCAGACACTCCTGTGGAGTGGGTTTTGTTTCTACTCTGGGCAACTTTAAGTCAGCTCAAATATAGTCTTCCAAATGAGTTCCTAGGCGAATCATCACACAGATCAGATAATGATAGTTCTTTGTGAATGAGGCTATGAAACAACTCAAACTGTGTTCTTCTCCTTCTAATATCAAGAATACAAGCAATTTTTTTCCAAAGCTATAATATAGCTGGAAAGTAGAATATAGAATTAGGATATTTTAAAATACAACAAACTCACTATTCCTAATGGGATTCCTGCCTTTTTTGAATGATTCCCTGAATTTCTGAAAAAGTTGGTTCAGCCTTTTTTTTGTTAGTTTTGTGTTGCATTTATTGAGGATCTAATTTTTGGAGGTCCTATTTTCCAATTTTCCCTAACACTACCTCCATGTCAATTCTTAGTGCGGGAGAAAACATACTCTTACTATTTCTTACTTATAAATTCCTTATCATTTTCTTTCATACAATGTTACTTACAGGGAAAAAGCCATGAAATCATCGCCATCATGTATTGCTTTCCAAAGTTCAAAAAGTATTTGCTTCATAACTAAGCTTATTTTTTCTCTTAAACTTATTTCATAAATAATTCTGTTTCTATTGAACCTCTGTGATGTCAGCCTCCCCAGTAGAGCATCATTCTTTGCCTTCTTTTGTTTATCAAAGTACAGTATGAACAGGGACCATGGTTCCTGGTCAAGCCAATACTAACCAGATCTTAAGTGTCAGGATTTTTCTGTGTGCTACCACCATAGCCTCCTCTATGGTTGTACATACCTGGAGAGCAAGGAAAGGACAAACAGGGGTATAGACACAGTCAGATGCAGTGTGTACCAGTCTCGAATGGCAAAAGCTAATCCTCCCAGGAGCATCTGCCCAATACTGTAGGAACACAGTATCAGTGTTATTCCTATATATTGTAATTTGGGCACTGTCCACTCTGTTGCTGGAAGAAAACATACACACAACGACAGTTTCAGACAAAGGGCAATTTCAAGGGCAACTCAATGCTTAGGTGCAACAAAAGTCTTAAGTTACTGACTTACCGAGAATGAAAGCATTTGTCATAATATTTATGGTAGTCAACCCAGCCAAGAAGCGAAATATGCAGAAAACAACGAAGGTGGGAGCAAAGATTGCACAGGTGTCAGCGATGGCTGTCTGGAGGAGACACCACGTGTATATCGCCTTCCGGCCATACCTAAGAAATAAGATAATTTAGGAAGATAAATAAATACATGGAAAGCTTGACAAAAGATGACATGTCTTGAAATTTAGGATAAATATTTAATAACTGGAACATTGCATTGATGAACTGGTAGAATAATTATTTTTGTCAACATGAGAAATCACAGGTGTAAGCCTTCCTGTCGATATGAGAATGCTGTCAATCTCTCAGCCAGCCATCATTGTTACTCCATGTGAAACCATATAAAGGAAAATGTAATATGGGAAATTATCTCAGATATTTGCTACACAGAAATATGTATTGAGTACACTGAGTTTGTGTATTGTGTTTAGAGCAGTGAAGACTGAAATCAAGAGACTTGTATTTATCACTGTATTATCAAGGTAAAGCTTTCACAAAACAAAAGATATGTATTTAATGAGTCCCAGTTAAATAGAACATTATTTTCACACAAGAATCCCATGTTGTGCCCTCTCTTATTCCCTATTCCCACTGAAGTTATCTGAAATTACAACTTTTAATACCATTTATTAATTTGTTTTTGACTTTTAAAATTGGAATCATATAGTGTTTAATCCTATGTCATATAATTTTTCTCTGTGTTAATGTGTGATGATAGCTTGTTTTAATTATTGCTGAGTATGAGTTTATATGTGGGGCAGGCATTGTGGTGCAGTTGGGCAAGTTGCTCCTTGGATGCCTGCATTCCATTTTGGAAGGCCACTTTGAGTTCAGACTAACTTACTTCTGACCCAGCATCCTACTAATTCATGCCAGGAGACAGCAGATGATGGCTCAAGTGCTTGGGTACCTGCAACTCACATGGGAGACCTGACAGATAGAATGCTAAGCTCCTAGCTTTGGCCAGGCTCAGCATCTTGTGTGTCAACCAGCAATGAAAGATCTCTCTCACTTTGTCATTCTGCCTTTTTAGTAGATGAAAATAAACAAATAAACATTATATGTCACATTTTTCATTCTACAGTTTATAGGTACAATCTGAATTTACATTTCAAGAAAACTTATTGACATCTTCTTCAAACTGTTCCATTTATTTACTCATCCACTCATCCTGCAATTTGAATTGTAGTAATGTGAGTCTGAAAACTAGGGGCAAGTGAATTCTATGCATGTATTATTTAACTGTGCAAACTCAAAGGTCATACCTTTTAACTAAGGCAACTGATGGCGTTAAGAATCTGTAGTGCCTTGAGTGTATTTGTGAGAGACATGCTTGAGTGCTAGGCATGGTTTTGGTTGACTGCCTCCTTTTGGAAGCACTCTGCCAGTACACAAGAAGTCCCAAACTTCTCATACCCTAACAATATCGGTCTATATTGTTAATATTATTTACACTTTATGATTGCAAAAATTACCCATTGGAGCTCTTTCAGAAGGTCCAGCTCTCCGTGTACGAGTGTAATGTCTTACCACCCCACCAGGAGCATTTTGCTTTACAACCAACAGATTCTGTAATGGTGACTACCACTACACAGGTGTACCCATGTCATAGGTACAAAAGGATGACCAGTCTAAAAGTGCCCATGTTTCTCACAGGGTCTAGGTGTTTCAGACCATTGGCAAGGCCAATCACACTGCTTCACAGTTTTGTCCCTTTGAGCATGAAGGCAACTTCTGCCTCATTTCCCCTTCCTTTCCTTTTGTTTAACTAACTCCAACTCAGAAACTTCGTATCTTGAAATATGCTCTGAAAATCACTCCTGAAATTTGTTTGAATCTAATTTAGATGGCTTCTTATGTCTTCCTTCATGCACACAAAGAACAGATTTATCACATCAAACTATAATGTCCAGGTCACAACCAAATACTTTTATTTGTTAATAAATAATAGTAATGATAATAATAATAATAATACCTATGTTTGGTTGTAGCACTCTGAAATCAGAAGTAGAAGTCAGTATGTAGCACAATATAATGCACACAGCATAAAAACCTCAAAGATTTCCAAAATAAATGAGTGCATGCATCATTTGATCAACAGCCCAAAAGAAAGTGAGAAGACACTCACCTGTCTGAAAGACGGCCAAACATCAGACCTCCCAGTAGTGACCCACTCATAAACAGGGTTTGAACCACTGATTTTAGTGACTGAAATTCACATACCAGGTCCCACTGGAAGAGAAAAATAGCACAGCAGAGTTTTAAGAAAGCGTAGACCCTTTGGTGGAACCTGAAACCAACTTCTACATATGATATACACATTCACCTGTTATGGGATTCTGCCTCCCTCTTCAGCTTCATCTAAAATTGCTCTCCTCTGGTTGCCCATAGACTAAAAATACTGAACTTACTTCAAGCCTTCAAATGTAATTGCTGTCTATCTCATACCCCTCCAATAATCTGTAACCATGTATCTACGTGTCTTTAGTCACTTTCCCTTTGATAACAAATTCCCTTTGCTGCAGGAATGTCAACACATTTCAGATATCATAATTAAAAATATGAAAATTTAATTTTAGAAATCTTCACTTACCAAAATTGAAACAATGAGGAAAAGCCCATGTTTTTCTTTTTCTAGGAAGCTTCCTTCATCATATCACTAACATGTCACTTAATAATATATACTTAATTAATACAATAATTTTTTGTATGGTTTTAAAAACTTTTTATATCAGAATAGTTTTAAATTTACAAAACAAAAATTTTAGCTTTGTACAGAGATCACATGTACCCTTGTAATCAGCTTCCACTATTTCTTTTTTTTTTTTTTTGACAGGCAGAGTTAGACAGTGAGAGAGAGAGACAGAGAGAAAGGTCTTCCTTCCGTTGGTTCACCCCCATATGGCCGCCATGGCCAGCGAGCTGCGCCAATCCTAAGCCAGGAGCAAGGTGCGTCTCTTGGTCTCCCATGCAGCTGCAGGGGCCCAAGCACTTGGGCCATCCTCCACTGCCTTCCCGGGCCACAGCAGAGAGCTAGACTGGAAGAGAAACAACCGGAACTAGAACCCAGCACCCATATGGGATGCCAGCATTGCAGGCAGAGGATTAACCAAGTGAGCCACGGTGCCAGCCTCGAGCTTCCACTATTTCTAAATATTTGTCCCAATCTATAAACCATTCCAAATTTTTCACATTTTTAAATGCAAACTCCTTGAATGCCTCTCATATCTCCTATCTTCTAGTTATTAACATACTGTGTTCATACTGGTGGTGTTTTTCAACTCCCACATTTACAGTATTTGCCTGTTGGTGTCTGACTTATCTCATGTAACATGATATACTCCAGTTCCATCATTTTGCTGCAAATGACAGGATGAATGAATGAAATTCCATGTATGTATGAACCACATTTCCTTTATTCATTCACTTGATGATGGGCACCTTGGTTGATTCCATATTTTGACTATTGTGAATAGCAATAACTGTGGTGGAGCAAGTATCTCTTTAATAAATAATTTTGTGTCTTTTTGATATATACCCAGTATATATTGCTGAGTCATACAGTAGTGAGATCGCTGTGTCATATGCAGTTCTATTTGTAGTTTTTACAGAAATCTCTATACTGTTTTCTATAGTGGCTATAGTGTCTATGCCAATTTACATTCCACCAACAGTGAATAAGTGTTTCCCTTATTCTATATCTAGGACATCACTTTTTCCTTTCTGTCTTTTTGATAATAGCAGTTCAAACAGGGGTGAATTGATGTTTTATTGTGGTTTTGATTTTCATTTCCCTGATGGGTAGTGAGTGACATTGACCAGCTTGAAAATATTATCTGTTGGCCATTTGTAGTAGGCACACATCAAATCAGTTGAAGAGCTTCAACAATACTAATTCCTGAATCACCTAGAGGTTCTGATATACTTGCTCTGTGCATCACTTTTCAGTAAGTCTGAGAGCCACTGATCTAGCATAACATTTGGGTAAAAGCTTTCAATTACTTTTTTTTTTTTTTACAGGCAGAGTGGACAGTGAGAGAGAGAGACAGAGAGAAAGGTCTTCCTTTACCATTGGTTCACCCTCCAATGGCCACTGTGGCCGACGCACCGTGCTGTTCCGAAGCCAGGAGCCAGGTGCTTCTCCTGGTCTCCCATGCGGGTGCAGGACCCAAGGACTTGGGCCATCCTACACTGCACTCCCAGGCCACAGCAGAGAGCTGGACTGGAAGAGGGGCAACCGGGACGGAAACCAGTGCCCCGACCAGAACTAGAAACCGGTGTGCTGGCGCCAGAGGCAGAGGATTAGCCTATTGAGCCGTGGCGCCGGCCCTTCAATTACTTTTTAAATGGCATAATTATCCTCACTAGATTAAGTGATATATGACATATGTATACACAAGTTTATGTTTAGTTAGTTTGATTGACTAATCTCAATACTGGTGTACAATATATTGTAGTATAGGTAAACAATTGCTACCTTCTGAAGGAATGAAGAAAAGGCTGACAATATCTGTCTAGGGACTCAACTCCCAGTCCATGCTTCGTGTTAACCCCCAAAACCTTCACTACTTCTTTATATGCAGAAGATTTATTTTATTTTATTTTATTTTATTTAATGAATATAAATTTCCAAAGTACAGCTTATGGATTGCAATAGCTTCCCCCCAAAAAAAACTTCCCTGCCACCCACAGCACTCCCCTCTCACACTCCCTCTCCACTTCCATTCACATCAAGATTAATTTTCAATTATCTTTATACACAGAAGATCAATTTAGCATAGATTAAGTAAATATTTCAACAGTTTGCACCCACACAGAAACACAAAGTATAAAATACTATTTGAGTATTAGTTATAGCATTAATTAAGCACCTAAGAGTAATTGTGTATTAATTACAGAGTTCAGCCAATAGTTTTAAGTAGAACATAAAAAATACTAAAAGGGTAAAGTATTAAGTTCTTTTTTTACTTTTTCTTTTTTTGTTTGTTATATAGTTATTTTTTTATTTAATAAATGTGAATTTACAAAGTGCAGCTTGTATATTGTTGTGGCTTCCCCTCACCAACCTCTCTCCCTCCCGTGGCCCTCCCCTCTCCCACTCCCTCTCCCAACCCACCCTTCATCCAGTTTCATTTTCAATTACCTTCATATACTGAAGATATAGTTAGTATATACTAAGCAAGGATTTCAACAGGCTGTACTAACACAACTGCACAAGGTATAGGGTATTGTTCGACTAGTAGTGTTGTTTTTAAGTTTCATAGTAAAACACGTTAAGGACAGAGATCCTACGTGGGGAGCATATACCCAGTGACTCCCGTTGTTGATTTAACAATTGGCACTCTTATTTATGACGTCAGCAATCACCCGAGACTCTTGCTATGAGCTCTCTAGGCTATGGAAGCCCCTTGAGTTCACCAACTCTGAATTTGTTTAGTCAAGGCTGTATCACAGTGGAGGTTCCTTCCTCCCTTCAGAGAAAGGTGCCTCTCTCCTTGATGGCCTGTTCCTTCTGCTGGGGTCTTGTTCACCAGGATCTTTCATTTAGATTGTTTTTTGCCACCGTGTCATGGCTTTCCATGCCTGTGAGACTCTCATGGACCCTTTAGCCAGATCCGAATGTCCCAAGGGTTGATTCTGAGGCAGGAATGCTGCCATTCTATGAGTCTGCTGTGTGTCCTGTTTCCCCTGCAGGATCATTCTCTCCCTTTTAATTCTATCCTTCATTAGTTGCTTACACTGGTCTTATTTGTGAAATCTCATCGACACATACCGTATCTTTTTGATCGGTTGTGTATTTATACTTATCACTTTACCAAGTGCGCTGGCATTGGTACTTATATGCAGGAGATTTAAATGAGGACTCTTACCTTAGTCACAATGGTGGAGGAGAAGGAGCTCTGATCGTACACCCAGCCGTCTACACAGGGCTCTGTGTCCGGCTCATTCGTGCTCGGGGAGGTCCCATTCAGGTAAAGGAGCTGCCACTGGGGATGGATGAAGCGACGGCACTTCTCTGGCCTCAGGTTTGAGTCCAGCGGGATGGAGACTCTCAGGAGGGCGTCTTGGCTGAGGATGTCAGAGTCATTGCCAGAGGTGGTGTGGTTGTCCAGGAGGGGGACCCAGCAGCGATGCCCAGGGATGGCTGCAGTGAAGTTCTCCAACAGAATATGAGTGTATGTTATCATACTGGTGACAAAAAAGAAGGCAATCTGAAGGATCTGAAATCTCCCCAGACTTCCAGCTTGATCCAGGAGCACATCAAATCCCATTGAGGCTGAGCAGGTTGTCTCCAAGGTGAAGCACAGTGACTATGGAGATAGGTTCAGAGGAAGAGAATGCTTCCAAGTCCACTAGTGCTGTGTTGCTCTTGACCCTACTTTCTCCTCAATAGGCCCAGTCTCTGCACTGCAGGAGAGCAGAGACAATTTCTTTGATTTTGGCAGCCAACAGCTTAAAAATTTTCACAGATGTAATTTTTGATGTTCAGTTGCTGATGGCTGATCCTGCTCAAAACACTTCTCTGAATGATCCTGACCCCTGAGCTTTGCAAGAGCTGAGCGGACCTTCAGCTGGATGGAATCTCCACGTGATCTAAAGTAAGCATTCCCAGTGGTCTGTGTTTGTTTTCAGAGAAGGGATGTTGGAGACTCGCAAGTGAAGTGCCTGGTGGTGCGTCTCCCAAACAATGGAATATGGCTTTTTCCTGGTTAGAAGTGCATTCTGACTCAAGGTTAATGAAAAGACTCCTTAGTTAAAATAAAGCAAAGAGGAATGTTGAGTGGAAATGCTGACTGCCGGTAACTGAGATTCTGCTTCCCTTCAATCATACCAGTGGCCGTGATTTCAAGAGTTTTGCAATCGTGAAGCAAGGTTATGGGGCAAGAGAGAAGGAACTAGTATGTAGTCAGTGTCACAAGATCTTATCTTCAGTTCATAAGAGGTGGATCAGGACGCCGCCCCTTTAATCTCATTTAACCTTTTCTCCAAGTGTTGTCACATCTTGAAGTGCTGGGGGTTTGGATTTCATCATGTGAATTTTGGGAGACATCATATTCCCTTAGTGGAGCCAAGCAATCAGATTATTATTTTTCAAAAGTCACTAACAGTACATAATAACAGTGAGAAGGGACTCATCAAGGCAAAGCATTTAGAATTTATGATTAAATTATATAAATAATGACAATGAAAGTTAACAACTCTCTGAATATGCACTATGGATCAGCTGTGTCATAATCACTTTTATTTTCTTTCCTTTCTCTCTTACTCTTATCATCTTCATTTTGTCACTGAGAAAACTGGTTCAGAGAGATTATGTAACTTGCTAAAGGATGCATATGCAGGGTATAAGTGATGGAGAAAAACGTGGACCAAGCTAGTTCCTGCTCCAAGCACAGTCCCTTGCTCAGTTTAACTGATGCATTTTATTCTCATTATTCATTGATTTCAGGCTGAGAAATGATGAAAGTGCTTAGAGTGTCAAGGTGCCTGAGAAAGAAAAAGAGAAAATCATGGTGCCTCATTCTCCAGTTCTCCCAGGAAACACAGGGAAGTTAGAGTAGAGGAAGTATCATAGTAATCAGGTGAAGACATGAATAGAAAGTGAATGTTCCACATCCAAACAGGAATATATCACTAAAATAATGCGGAAATGGATGAATATGCAGAAATATAAGTACTGACAATGAGAATAATGTATTAGTATTTCCTATGTGAATCTGCTATGTATTTATTTGAGATGGATATAATTACCTTATTTTATAGAAAAATGTAATATGGAGAGTTTTATTCTTTTCCCACTTAGTTGTTGGGGCTTTTAGGTATGAACAGTATATATATACATATATATATATATATATACCCTAAGAAAATCTGGCAGAAGTCCAACACAGGGCACTTAGTGGAGGATTTGACTGGGGTTCAATGAGGGACCAGGCAACGAGGAAACTGCATGATCACGCACTCCACTTGTAAAATTCTCAGTATATCCTCAAAGTACCCGGGCTTATAAAAAATTTTCAGACTCCATAGTTATTTGCAGGAGAAAAGAAGCTAAGGTAATGTTAATCTCTATATTTTATTTAAATGGAGAAGAGGTGGGAATGCTCAATGTTTTGCTGAGGTTGAATCCCCAGTTGGAACCACTACCTCCTTGGCTGGAGGGGGGATTTGTGCCTCTGAGTGCTTACTATCATTAACTCTGCTTTCTTCATAGCAATGCATTTGGTTTAAATTTTTGTCACAAGATGTTGGCATAGATTTGCTGCTATGTTAATTTCATTCCTTTGATCCTATGGAAACCTTTCAGTAAAGCAAGGGGCAAAACTAATATTCAAATCCGTGTTTGCTTACTGGAGTCAGATATTACTGAACCACATGAGGAATGTTGGCAAGGCAAGAGTTCTCTAAAAACTGAGGCCTCCCTGGCATGTCCCTATAGTAGACATTCCGGGAAGATACTGCTCTCTTCCATGAACACATTTTTTTTTTTTACTAGTATGTTCTTTTTTATTTTTATTTTTTATTTTTTTTAACTTTTATTTAATGAATATAAATTTCCGAAGTACAACTTATGGATTACAATGGATTCCCCCCAATACCGTCCCTCCCACCCACAACCCTCCCCTTTCCCACTCCCTCTCCCCTTCCATTCACATCAAGATTCATTTTCGATTATCTTAATATACAGAAGATCAGCTTAGTATACATTAAGTAAGGATTTCAGCAGTTTGCTCCCACACAGAAACATAAAGTGAAAAATAATAGATGATTTTTTTTAAATGATGATGAAATCAGATCAGACCTATTGTCATGTTTAATCCCAGTGAGAGTCAAGTTGGGAATTGATAATTTCTTTTCTTTCTTTTTTACAGAAGATCAGTTTAGTATGCATTAAGTAAAGATTTCAACAGTTTGCACCCCCACAGAAACACAAAGTGAAATATATTGTTTGAGTACTCGTTATAGCATTAAATCCCAATGCACAGCACATTGAGGACAGAGATCCTACATGAGGAGTAAGTGCACAGTGACTCCTGTTGTTGACTTTACCAATTGACACTCCTGTCTATGGCATCAGTAATCTCCCTATGCTCCAGTCATGAGTTTGCAAGGCTATGGAAGCCCTCTGAGTTCTCCGATTCTTATCTTGTTTAGACAAGGTCATAGTCAAAGTGGAGGTTCTCTCCTCCCTTCAGAGAAAGGTACCTCCTTCTTTGAAGACCTGTTCTTTCCACTGGGATCTCACTCACAGAGATCTTTTGCCAGAGTGTCTTGGCTTTCCAAGCCTGAAATACTCTCATGGGCTTTTCAGCCAGATCCGAATGTCTTTAGGGCTGATTCTGAGGCCAGAGTACTATTTAGGACATCTGCCATTCTATGAGTCTGCTGAGTATCTCACTTCCCATGTTGGATCACTCTCCCCTTTATTTATTCTATCGGTTAGTGTTAGCAGGTACTAGACTTGTTTATGTGCTCCCTTTGACTCTTAGTCCTTTCATTATGATCAATTGTGAACTGAAATTGATCACTTGGAATAGTGAGATGGCATTGGTACATGCCACCTTGATGGGATTGAATTGGAATCCTCTGCTATGTTTCTAACTCTACCATTTGGGGCAAGTCAGCTTGAGCATGTCCCAAATTATACATCTCTTCCCTCTCTTATTCCCACTCTTATGTTTAACAGGGATCACATTTCAGTTACTTTTCAACACTTAAGAATAACTGTGTGATAATTACAGAATTAAACCAGTCATATTAAGTAGAACGGACAAAAAAACTACTAAGAGGGATAATGTATTAAGTTGTTCATTAACAGTCAGGGCTATGCTGATCAAGTCACCGTTTCCCATAGTGTCCATTTCACTTCAACAGGTTTCCTTTTTGGTGTTCAGTCAGTTGTCACCGATCAGGGAGAACATATGGAATTTGTCCCTTTGGGACTGGCTTATTTCACTCAGCATGATGTGTTCCAGATTCCTCCATTTTGTTGCAAATGACTGGATTTCATTGTTTCTTACTGCGGTATAGTATTCTAAAGAGTACATATCCCATAATTTCTTTATCCAGTCTACCGTTGATGGGCATTTAGGTTGGTTCCAGGTCTTAGCTATTGTGAATTGAGCTGCAATAAACATTAGGGTGCAGACCGCTTTTTTGTTTGCCAATTTAAATTCCTTTGGGTAAATTCCAAGGAGTGGGATGGCTGGGTCAAACGGTAGGGTTATCTTCAGGTTTCTGAGGAATCTCCAGACTGACTTCCATAGTGGCTTGACCAGTTTGCATTCCCACCAACAGTGGGTTAGTGTCCCTTTTTCCCCACATCCTCGCCAGCATCTGTTGTTGGTAGATTTCTGCATGTAAGCCATTCTAACCGGGGTGAGGTGAAACCTCATTGTGGTTTTGATTTGCATTTCCCTGATTGCTAGTGACCTTGAACATTTTTTCATGTGTCTGTTGGCCATTTGGATTTCCTCTTTTGAAAAATGTCTATTGAGGTCCTTGGGCCATCTCTTAATTGGGTTGTTGGTTTTGTTGTTGTGGAGTTTCTTGATCTCTTTGTAGATTCTGGTTATTAACCCTTCATCTGTTGCATAGTTTGCAAATATTTTTTCCCATTCTGTCAGTTGTCTCTTCACTCTCCTGACTGTTTCTTTTGCAGTACAGAAACTTCTCAATTTGATGCAATCCCAATAGTTGATTTTGGTTTTGACTGCCTGTGCCTCCCGGGTCTTTTCCAGAAATTCTTTGCCTGTGCCAATATCTTGAAGGGTTTCTCCAATGTTCTCTAGTAACTTGATGGTGTCAGGTCGTAGATTTAGGTCTTTAATCCATGTTGAGTGGATTTTTGTGTAAGGTGTAAGGTAGGGGTCTTGCTTCATGATTCTGCATGTGGAAATCAAATTTTCCCAGCACCATTTATTGAATAGACTGTCCTTGCTCCAGGAATTGGTTTTAGATCCTTGATCAAATATAAGTTGGCTGTAGATGTTTGGGTTGATTTCTGGTGTTTCAATTCTGTTCCATTGGTCTATCCATCTGTTTCTGGACCAGTACCATGCTGTTTTGATTACAACTGCCCTGTAGTATGTCCTGAAATCTGGTATTGTGATGCCTCCAGCTTTGTTTTTGTTGTACAAGATTGCTTTAGCTATTCGAGGTCTCTTGTGCTTCCATATGAATTTCAGCATCATTTTTTCCAGATCTGCGAAGAAGGTCTTCGGTATCTTGATTGGTATTGCATTGAATCTATAAATTGCTTTAGGGAGAATGGACATTTTGATGATATTGATTCTTCCAATCCATGAGCATGGAAGATTTGTCCATTTCTTGGTGTCCTCTTCTATTACTTTCTTTAAGGTTTTGTAATTTTCATCGTAGAGATCTTTCACGTCCTTGGTTAAGTTTATTCCAAGGTATTTGATTGTTTTTGTAGCTATTGTGAATGGGATTGATCTTAGAAGTTCTTCCTCAGCCATGGCATTGTCTGTGTATACAAAGGCTGTTGATTTTTGTGCATTGATTTTATACCCTGCTACTTTGCCAAACTCTTCTATGAGTTCCAATAGTCTCTTAGTAGAGTTCTTTGGATCCCCTAAATAAAGAATCATGTCATCTGCAAAGAGGGATAGTTTGAGTTCTTCCTTCCCAATTTTTATCCCTTTAATTTCTTTTTCTTGCCTAATAGCTCTGGCTAGAACCTCCAGAACTATATTGAATAGCAGTGGTGAGAGTGGGCATCTCTGTCTGGTACCAGATCTCAGTGGGAATGCTTCCAACATTTCCCCATTCAATAGGATGTTGGCTGTGGGTTTTTCATAGATTGCTTTGATTGTATTGAGGAATGTTCCTTCCAAACCCAGTTTGCTTA